ATTACGAAAAAATACGCTTTTTTCAAAGCCAAAAAGAGCTCATAAGTCAAGTTAGCTATGGAGCGAGAAGAGATGCAATATCTAAGAGGCACAGATCTCTTGTTTCACTTCTACATTTCGCGAAACTCAGCAGCTTAGGCATGGTTTCATAGTATAGGGTGGTGAAACTGAGCCAAAAAGACCTGAAACTTCTGTAATTTTTGAGTTTTCTCGAGAAAGTCATGAGGAAAAAACATAACGAAATGAGCAAATGCACGGATCAATCGTTTCAACGCAGTTAAAACGGTTTCGTACCATGTAGGCGAAGTTAGCATCAGATTCCAGTAAAAGTTGCCGATATTCGTCGACGAACCTATTCTACTGAAATAATAAGAAAAAGAGAGAGAAATGCGTCTTTGTTTAATACAAAATTATACTAATAGAAAAGTTTGATAAACAAAAGTGAAAGTGACGTACTAACATGATTACACTACCTTTACACTGAACACGGAAGAGACCGAGTTATGATCATAGAGTCTTTAATGAACATGTATTGTAGTTATATTCGAACAGACATACCGCATGATAAGACTTCTGAGATACTCACACACTTCCTGCAGAGCATTAACCACTCCGTCCGTATCGATCAAAACATGTCTAGCTTCTGGATGAATATTAACTAGTTATTATCAGCATAAACAACTTCTGTTGAAGGCAGTGACATCGGACAATGAAGTCAAAACGTTTTCCACTAAGGAAGAACTGTCTCACTCCTAATGTTCCTGCTGTACCAGATAAGTTTTGAGTTTCTGAACAGTGGTTCTCTAGCAAATCTGTCAAAAATTCGCGGGAGAAATATATCGTTGTTGATAACCTACGAGGAACTGTTTCTGCTTCAAATAAAGGGCGTTAACAAACGATATTTTCTCAAAAGTAGAATATAGTATGTTTTAAACTGTTTGTTTTTTTGAATCTACATCTCCACGTCGACGTAATATAGTATCTGTCGTGGCTTAGCATTGCTCATGCTGCTAACCAACACACATGCACAAATTTCTTTGGTACGCTCCGTTATATATATAAAAATAACAATTTATCACTAATTGATATCTTAAGAAATAATCTTAACTAGTTCATCATACATAATATGACGTATTTTTCTAAAGGTAACTAAAATGAAGAAAAGAAAAGTAATGAGTTGAGTTGAGTATTTTGATCGGTATTTTGATCTACATGAGAAAAATAAAACAAAATAAATTAATAGTTTGTGAAATCGAAAACACCAAATCTGCCTGCAAATTCAGTTGTCAAACCTAGATGTAAGTAGAAGAAGTGAATCCATCAAATACATATTATAGACAGACCTTGAGCCTCTGCCTTGTTTTGACTCAGTGTCTCTGGCGTTATTATGGTCCGAAGAGCGGTCTCAAGACGTGCTTACAAAAAATAAATCGTTCAATCAAACTACAGTCTTGGAGTTTACTGCCCTTTGTTTTCTACAAACAATTTAATCGTTGCTTTATCTACAACCTCTTTCTTCTTCAGCCTTTTCTCCTAGAAAAATAATTATCATTAATGAGTGAAAAACAAGAAAAGAGAAACGCAAATGACAAAGAGAACAACAGCGATCAACAGGAAGAGACTAATTCAAAATTAATTAAAAGAATACTATGGAAGTTAGACAAACGCTTAATACCATTTCTGGCACTGCTGTATCTGTGTTCATTTCTTGATCGAATTAATATTGTTAAGTTTTAGAGTTTACACTACCGTTGTTGCACTCTTCAAGAAGAAATAGGATGGGTTGTGTTGATGGAGACGAAATTCACTTTTTGTTTTCTGTTTTATAGGTAACGCTCAATTAGCGGGCCTTGAAACTGATCTACATCTTACACAGTCACAATACAGTTGGTCAATTTCAATTTTCTTTGTTGGCTATGTACGTCGGTGAAGTTCCCATGAAAACTACTGATCTTAATACTTCTCCGTTCACAGGTCGTTTTCGAAGTACCATCGAATATAGCTTTAAAAAACGTTGGTCCTCGTCTTTGGATTGCGCTCATCATGAGTATTTGGAGAGTCATTATGATTTTGATGGCATTTGTTCGCAACGCAACTGATTTAATGGTGACACGTTTCTTTTTAGTAAGTGAATAACTCCAGAAACTTTGTTCTCTCTTTCTCTCTCTAAAAGTAAAGCTTGTCCGAAGCTGAACTGAGCGCTTCGAACAGCGAGTAGCGAGACATTCCTCTCATTTTTCATAAACTGAGGAAAAGCGTTTTGTCTAACTCTCTTGCTGTTGAGTGCTAAAATGTACAATATCACTCAGTTCACCGTCTTTTTCCTAATTCTAAGTGAATAGGCCATTGACCTTTTTTCATTCGTGACTCACTAGGGCGTCGTAGAAGCAGGCCTTTTTCCAGGTATGGTCTACTACTTAACACTATGGTATACAAGAAAGGAACAAACAGCTAGAATGGAAATTTTCTTTAATGCCGCAACACTGTCTGGTGCTTTTGGAGGTGTTTTGGTGAGTGTTGAATCAAACACTTAGTCAACAGCTGCCATTTATCTCTGTTCATTTCTTAAACGCAAAAGGCTTTCGGCATCATGCAAATGCGAGGAATATCTAACTTAAACGGATGGCAATGGATTTTTATTCTCGAAGGTGCGAAGTGTATATAGTGTCGGTTATTAGACGAGCCAGGAAATTGTCTGTTTTGTTTTCTTTTTTAAAAGGCATACCAACTGTACTTATTGCAATTATCTCATATTTCTATTTGCCTAATTATCCCGAAACTGCGAAGTGTAAGTAGTTGTCTGATTTTCTTTCTGCAGGATGATATCAATAACGGTTTTTGTTGCAGGGCTTACAGAAGAGGAACAACAATTTCTTACAAAACGTTTAGAAGAGGACGCTGCTGTGAGCAGTGGAGAAGATGTAGACAATGATAAAAATCAACAGTTCTCGTACGCACAATTTAAATCTGTTTTCCATGATTATAAAACGTATCTCCACATGTTAGAATATATCGGTCATACAACACCATTCTACAGTTTGAGTCTGTTTCTGCCGACAATTATCGGTGGAATGGGTTTCACCAGGTTTGTGAGATCACTTTTTTCAAGCATTTTCTGTTTATTGAGCAGAGATCAGTCGCTGGCCTCAAATAGTTTCACTGGGAGTAATCTTATTGTGTGGTGACGTGTAGTTGCTAAATTTTAGCAGTTTTGAAAGTGCAAGGTACAACTACGTCAAGGCTTCGGTACTGAAAACTCTATTGAAATTTTAAACTCTTACCGGCTCTCCAAAGATTCTATATGTGCTCGTATGATGATGCTGCAAAATCCTTCTTTATCACTTCTAGCCTAGCAGCCCAAGCAATGTCTTCCCCACCATTCGCCGTTGCCTGTTTCTGTTCTGTTCTCATCGCAATTCACTCCGGTCGAACTAACGAACGTGGTTACCATATTGTTTTTAGCGCGTCCCTCTCCACAATTGGCTTCGTTCTTCTGATTCTCACCTCAAAATTTGCTTCACCCATAGCAACCTATATTTGTTCTTTTGTTGCCTGCACCGGTGCTTACAGTTCTTCGCCGTCAGCGGTAGCTTGGATAACAAATAATTTTCAGGGTTACACAAGACGTGCTGTTGCTACAGCTCTAATCATTTCCTTTGGCAATATTGGTGGCCTGATCGCTGGACAAATCTATCGAAACGATGATGCTCCAAAATATATTCGAGGTCATTCAATTGTGTTAGTTTTTACGTGTACGAACATACTTGCTTCGTTAGTGTTAAAGTTTCTCTTAAAACGAGAAAATCGAAGAAGAGATAATCTGTCAGAAGAAGATTATCAACGGGAATGTTCAGAGAAAAAGAAAGATTGGGTGAGTTACTGAACATATACTGAAGTCTTTAGCACAGTAAAATGCTTTATAACGTCTTCTTCGTTTTTAGCATCCAGATTTTCGGTATACACTTTAAAAGACTGTGAACGCTTTTCCTCTTTTGTGTATTTTCAATTAGAGTTAGTTAATCATATTTGAGCTACATCATGGGTACAATGCTGATGTGAATCATATGTAACTTAAATAGATATGGGAGCTACACAAACAAGAAGACCAAAAACAGAAGGTATATTCAGCTTAGATATAACTTCGCTATATGCTGAAGGCTGAACCTGTTTCGACTCACACATCTACTGACTAACATTCTATGATCACATAGATCAATGTAAGTTTATTAATTTTGAAGAAAAAAACAAAAAGGTAAAACACTGTGTCTCTTAACACCAGAACTCATACAATCGTTTAAATCAGCGTCCATCTTTTTCTTCTTTGTCAACCTGTGATCTCCCAGTATCTAGATCAATCTTCTCGTTTGTAACAAACACACTCGTTTTCTAATTTTTAATTTTGGAAATAACGTAGAACAGAATAATAATAGGCACTGCCAAACAGACCATGAAGAATGCATTCGGACTTGATCTCTCACAGGCCAGACAACAATATAAAATTGTGCAATTAAACAGAGAATATTCACGAGACCAAGTAATGAACCGATAACACTACTTTGGGCACGAAACGAAATTTCGTCGAGACTATGTCCATGATGTTTTCAACCTTGACGAAAACGAATGTGACAAGCACAAATACTTTCCCAACTGAAAAACGATGAGCGATCGGTAACAGCTAGAAGTCAGTTGAACACCGTAGCACCACTACTCGCTAAACTTATGTAGGCAATAAAACCAAAGATGATTGCAATTAGCAGTGAAAGCATCAGACTTCCTTTCCTGTCATGGTGCGTACATCACTTTGATGCATGACCAATCTTTGCCAAGGCTGCAACTGCACGCGATGAACTATAAATAGATGAATTACCAACTGACAAAACTGAGATCAGAATCACCACATTAAAAATATCAGGCCGGGCTTTAACACTACCGAGATCGGTTGCAATGAGAAAAGGACTTGCTAAACCAGAACCTGTATTACCGCTACCACCAGCATTCATGAGACGGTCATTTTTATCAGGAACAATAAAGCCGATGAGTAAGAGACTGACGATGTAGAACATTGCTATACCGCAGAAAACCTGATTTGTTGCTCTAGATCGTCGGGTTTTTCGTGAATTTACAGTCTCTGCTGCTGCTAGTTGTACGAGTTCTGTGCTACTGAATGACAATCCAGCATTGACAAACACACGGTTGTGAAACACACCGGGATTACGGCATGTTTGTACACCAAAATAACGATGAGCAGGTGTCCCACCAACATCGATTACAATAGTCAGGATTATAAAGCCAATAATGGCCAACACTTTAGAAAATGAAATATAAATTCAGCTTCTGCATAGCCTCGTAGATTGACGAGGATAATTAGAACGAAGAAGATTGTAATCAAAAGCCGATAGGAACGGAGTTTTTCCATTAGCCGACGACTAGTGCAGCTGTTGCGCATGTAGCAAGGACCGTGTACTGAATACAGAGAAGATTAATTTTCTTCTACTTAGATGTTCTTCACAAATCCCCTGATGCTGACGACTCTAACGGTAGAATAATAAGCCAATTTAACTGTTAGCTTCATCCGACTACAGAACCCCATGCTGGATCGAGAAATCGAGCTGAATAAATACTAAAGGAACCTTGAATGGGATACATCACTGCCAGTTCTCCAGGTGCTGGGACCATTACAAACAACAAAAGTCCCAAATAGCAATGTCCAGGAAAAGCAATGAGAACTGACATTGGTCCGCCAGTGGAAAAGGAGGAACCACTGCCGACAAAGAGTCCTATTCCGATCGAACCACCGATAGTAATCATTTGTAGATGACAACCTTTCAATTTTCGTTTGAAACCACCAGCTTCATCGCCATTGTTGTCGCCGCTACTTCCTTCGTTAGAGCCCGAAGACGTTTGTTCCACTTATTCTTTCTGCTGCTCACTTTTTGGTTGCGCTCGTTTAAGTCAAGAGATAAATCGTTTAAAAACTGGCTCTTTCTTCTCAGATTCAGAGTAGCAGGATGATGCTGATGACGTCGATGGAGTTTTATCGATCATAAATCCTTGTTGTTGTGGTACGGAAGACTCCGTCATCTCAGATGTAACAAAGAGTGACCGTATAGTTTATATCAATTAAATTATTGATTATACAATTTTGTACTCAGGTCTTACTTTTTGTTATGAATGAAGAATTGGTTGTTGCTCAGGTAGATAACTTATAATTGAAAAAGATTATATCTATACATTTATTATTCTGATGAAAATAACATGTGTATGTTGTGCGGCAGATAGAAAGCGTGACTAAAAAAAGAAGGCGAAGGACACCAAAATCTGATTTTGTATTATGAATGAAAAAGAATAACATGGAGGCTATGACCAGGAATTCCATCGTGACAGCTGGATACTTCTGACTTTGTAGAACAACTTATCCTCAGAGGGATGTTGCAACCAAAGGAACTCAGCGTGAACTTTGACTTTAGTATTAAGTGAAACATCTCGACAGACCGGTCGAAATTTAAAAAGAAAGTTGGTGCAGGAAACCAAAGTTAGAGTGTCCTAAAACACTCTTTTTCCAAGAAATCCTTTCAGTGAAATCAGCTCCTACGCTACGCCGTTTTCTTTTGAACTTCGATTTGATTTCAGAAATTCTCAGTTAACAAAACAGACTATTGCAGTGACTGCTTTTTCTGTCAAGCTCTTGCACTTGATGTAATACATCTCTCTGGAGTTGGCGAATCATTGACAATCACGAATCTGCTTTGCCTTGGAAAGAAATGAGATATGATTTCACTCACATGCAAAACTCACTATTCGTTGCACTGACACATAAAGAAACAACCGAATACAAAGGTAATTTACTTCACGATTAGAGAGTATACGTGATTAAATTGTTCACAGCTCACGTGTAGCAATTATAAAAATTGAGGCAGTTTTCCCTAGGAAAACATAAACGCAGGCAAAAATCGCTCCAGTACTTAATCTCAAATGAAGAACAGTCGCTTCGTCGTAAGAACTTTATTGCAATTGCGGCTGAAATATCCTTAATTTGGTTTAGCATAATCAAGAGTTTATTAAGAATAAACAGAAAACTTTTATTCTAGACTTCACTGTAACTTTCTGTACAACATATTCACCGGATAATGACCGTATAAATAAGTCGAAAATTTGTGTTTTGATAATAAAAGTTTTCTATTTATTCTTAATAAACTCTTAATCGTGTTAAAGCAAATTAAGCGTATTTCAGCCACAACTGCACTAAAGTCCTTATTTCTATTGCTGCTCTTTTATAGTAACAATGTTATTGATCTTCGTCATACTTCTTATTCTTTGCGTTTGCCTTACGTTACCGGATGCAACATGTACTATTAACAATCATCAGAAAATACGAGCTTCCTACCATGTAAGAAACGGAGAGTCGCTTGTTAGTCCTCTCCCGAAAAATGCTCACAAGTACTATCCGTATAAATTGTGTACACTAATACCATATGATTATGCTGTTTATCCCAAGGTAGATTTTCCCTACACGAAGGCGTAGAATAATTTTGAACGATTTCACAATCTTTCAGCAAAGATATAATCAGCACTATCTTTCATTCCAGCGGCGACAGATTTTAGCCTTTGAAATAGGGGTGTTAATTTAGTGTTACTTTGGAAAATAAATGTAAATGAATTATTTATACTTAAAAAATAAAGATAAATTTGTCATTTATAATTAAAAAATAGATATAAATGATTCATTTACATTTATGAAATAAATACAAATAAACGAAAAAGCCAAATTAACATCCCTACTTTGAAAGAACACAACCTTCCAAAGTCAACAGTTCTGTAGTGCAGGTTTCATTCCTAGTCAGCGAGAAACTACTGTAGTGTAGTAGTGTGTTTAACTAAATGCTGCTAGATGAGAGAATCTCATCTTTACAGACACTTATCTTCGTTCTTCCCTCTCAGCCAGTCTTATATTCCTTTATATCATAGTTCAACATCAGTCAAGACTGCTGCTCTTCTGCCAATCTACATGGCTATGCCGAGTGTGTTACTCTTGCTCCTTTAAATTCGACGAAAAAAATGAGATACACATTTTCTCATCCAGTTTATCTGTTTATGTGCACATCAGAGCTCCGTATGGTCTTAACATTTTGTGTCCAGTTCAGTGTGTGAAATAATCAAATATAGTCCAGTCCAGTCCGAGTCCACAAAAAACAGTTTTTTAAGTCCAACCAGTCCACGGACTTGAAAAGAATAGTCCAGTCCGGGCTGAGTAAGTTACCACCAGGACACTTCACACATCGGAACCTAAATAGTTTCTAAACCTCTGACTTTGCTGCTGTAGACTCATTGTCTGTTATTGAGTAATTGTCGTTTTTGTGTCTCAAAAACGGTTTTATTAGGGATGTAGACAGTAGCTTCAGATATTAGATGAGACGTTGCTATTTTCTCAAACTATTTAAGAAAGGCTGAATTGTGGCCTAGAATTAACTAAGCGTTGACTGATAATGGCAGGACTACTAACATTGCAGGACTACTAACATTGCATTCTCTCTTTTGCGGTTAAAACGATAATAAAAAGTATGTATTAAAATTATATACAGTATATTTTTAATACTTACTTTTTACCGTCATTTTTAAGGTTTCGAAGCGTCTAAGTTGATCAGCAGAAAAATGTACGAAGAATCATAAAGATAGATATTATTTATACTTCAAATCCGTACATTTAAACGAACATATGTAATACTTCGTCTGCCGGTAAGCATAGACAGCGGAATGTTTTGGGGCGAGGCAAGGTTCACGCTTGTGCTTTTCAAAACCTCCAACAGGAGGTTTTCTTCAACTAAATCATGCGGATTTTTTGTTGTATATTCAATAAAGTATTATATTATTGCTTGGCTATCTAGTATGAACAGCAAATTCCACGTAAAACGGTGGAAAAACGAAACTCATATTTTCGTATTAAGACAAGGCTCAAGCCTAACAAGCCTAGTGGCTCCGCCGTCTATGCCGGTAAGTGTTCATTGTCAGCTCAAAGCAGCAGAAATAAGACGAAAGTAATTTAGGACTTTTCTTGTAAATTCTATAACACTGCAAAGAAAGGTCGTGTAAAGCTGCGAGATGTCTCATTTTAATCAAGAATTGGCTGGCTACAATCATGCTTCATTAAGAAAGCTTTTATTATCTTTTATTATATTTAAGCTTTTATTATTTTTTTAACCTTCAGAGTGTCTGAAAACTGGTTTTCTTAAGGATAATCCTCATCGTCATACTTGGAATTAGATTGACACAATGCTGATGGTCAGGGCTGGACCGCTCCGCTGACTTTCAAGTCCAACTGAAACTCCAGCTTCGCTCAAAATTTTTCAACTCCAATTCCAACTCCCTCAACAAAAATCTCAACTTCCGTTCAACTCCGGTCACTTTTGTAAGGAAGATTTTTCGGTTTTTAGCAGGATTCGGGACGTTTTAGAGCTTTTCCCGGCCGAAACCGCAAAGAACTTTCGAATTCACTCGTGAATACATTCACTCAGTCGTTTAAAAGATTATTTTACTACTATTGAATATTTCCAAAAATGCAAAAAGGAGTTGAGAATAAAAATTCAAAAACCTAACTCCAACCTACTAAAATCTCAACTCCCACTCTGCCATGGTCAACTCCAACTCCAACTCCAACTCCACCAAAAAGGTCCTCAGTTCCGGAGTTGGAGTTGCTCAGCCCAGATGGTGGTAATCTCATTTCCCTCCTCATTCGTTAGCAAGAATGTTGTGGCTCTTGCATTACTTCTACGCTTCATCACAATTCAAGTTCACCTTAAGCCGGCGCCCATCCAAGCATGTTTCGACGATATCAGTGGAATCTAAGACAATACATCAGTCATTGCTTTTAACAAGAAAATTCTATTTAATATTCATATTCTCTAGCAGTCGTCATCGCTCGAAATTCAGCGTATTCAGTCAGAATTTACGAACTATCGGAAATTTGGCGGACGAGAGCCAAGCATTTCTGTCTTCCAGTTAGTACAGACACATTTGAAAGGATATAACCATACCACTACAATAGCCCCATCTGATTTATTCGATTTATCATCATTGTCAACCGCCGATTCATTCGCAGCAGCAGCTGTGAACGATTGTTATTTCCAATTACTTATTATTACGTTATTATTCTAAACAATACATACACTAGTTCAACATGTCATCGCTGATGGGTTTTATCTAGTCGAGACTATATTGCTCTTTTGAATTTAATTTAGTTGTTTCGTTGTGATGTTTAATTTTCACGTTACCCTTATAGATTCGATTTTCTGAAACGAAGATAGTTTCGGTCGAGTTCCGTCTAATGACTCCTTCAAGATTCCGCTAAATTACGACAGAAATTTTTATTCGTTTTATGAAAGCCAAGTCTATAAGAATAGTAGTAAAAATGGGATAGATCTCGTTTTATTTAAAACCATAGTTGCCTTTTTGTCTGGCTAATTTTGTTTCAACTTGCCCATATTAATGAAATAAAGCTCTTAAAGCGAATTTATTGGCTATGTTTTCAGACGTTTTGATTCTCTTTCATAACGAATAGTCTAACTTGTGGAGCAAATTTCATAGAGTCAGTTTCCAAGACAAAAATATCAATTGATCGGTTCTTGGCTATTACTTTATTAGCAGTAAAAAGTTCATAATTTGAACTTTTACTACAGTTCAATTTAGCTATGAGAAAAATATTTCTTGATTTTTAAACTTATTTATTCGTTGTTCATTCTTTCATTTCATCGGTATTATTCGAATCAGTTCACTCTTGTTTTTTTTCTTCGAAGGTGGTGATTGTTCTTTGGCTGTTTGATTTTGCTGCTGGTATTGTTGTACAGGCGACGATTCAATAGGTAATGTTGAGGTCTGATTTGAACTCGTCATCAGACGTTGTTTCGGATCTAATGGTAAATATCGAAAATTTCTGTCATCTTGTATGATAGTTGCACTGTTGTTCGGATGACAAGTCAAAAGCTGCGAATCATTGTTATTGGTGCTATTCATTGTTGTAGCAGTAGTGGTGAGCGTCTGAGACTGCTGGAGTTGAATTTGTCGTTCAGTCTCTGTTTGTATCATATTTCGCTGAACATGGTGAGGCAATGCAGGATCTAAACTGAGAGCGTAGGGAAGAATTATTTTCGATATATTACCGAAATCAATGAAACATTTAATGTACATAATATCATGTTGAATATAATTGCTACCATCTTGCAATATTGGAAAAAATTTTGGAATACCAGAAGCGATATTCATTTCATTCCGAGGACGCTGGAAACTGTTTGAGTTTATATTGGGCCGAAACGAGTCAATAATGTGTTTCTGTTGACCTGACTGATCAAAGAGACAAAAGGTTACTTTAAAATTAAATGGCCATTTAAGAATAGCATCGTATTCACCACGCATTATAACAAAAAACACTGATATATGCGTTCCACGTGCATTACCATCACCTTGTAAATAAACACGAATGCGCATTTTATAACCGGTTGGTGATGAGTAGAATGGAGGAGAATAAATTGACGTTTGTCGTTCTGATTGTGCATCAGCTATTTTCTCTGAAACATCGGTTATTTTCCACGTGAGTATGCCGTCGTAGGATATCGATTGTAAATCTTCTATTTTCTTCTTCATACTTGTCACCACGTGTTGTAAAATTTCTTGATTTGGTGTAATGCCAGCTATATACGAATTTCTTTCAGCTATTGCTTGTTTTATTTGATTTATATTATTTTGAACCGATTGCGATAGTTGTTGATGACGTAATGATTCCATACTCAAACGAAGAGAGTCATCACTTAGTGTTTGTATACCACCTGTTAATGTTGTTAGCGTTTCGTAATATTTCTGTAACTGGAAATAACAATCTTTCACAGCTGCTACTGCGAATGAATCGGCGGTTGACAATGATGATAAAACGACAAAATCAGATGGGGCTATTGTAGTGGTATGGTTATATCCTTTCAAACGTGTCTGTAGTAACTGAACAAGATGATGAAGAAACAAAAGTAAACTTTTCTGATGTATGTCGCTTAGATAATGTGCTTCAATTTCAATTGACAGAATCTACAGCAAAAAAAATACAATATTATGTTAAGCTCTACAACATCGATTTCCACAATGAGAAATGATCTTTTCTTGAATTACATCTTCACATACCCTTTCTTGTGAACAACGATATTTTGCTAATGGACATAATTGAGTTATTTTTGTACAGGAATGTTTTTGATGTTCATCCAATGCATACACTGTTAAGAAGATTGCACTGCAATACTCGCATTCATGAGTTGTTTCATGAACTTTATTGATATGATCCTTAAATCGAATCAAATATGCTTTATTGACATTAATGATTGGAATAAGGATTGAGAATAGTAGTAGAGTAACAGCAGCGTTCATTTATTAGTTATTAAAGTCTTGTTGTGATAGTATTTAAAGCAAAAGATGTGACAGACAGCTTTCTGATTGTGATGGATCTAGCATAATTGCTCGGGAGATAGTTACTCACGGGCACTTGCTCGCCAAAGAGATTTTGGCATTAATTTGTAGTGGAAAACTTATGCTGAAGTGATGATGAAAACGCTGTATCCTCCTATCAGAAATTGTTGGTTGAACCATGGCTAGTATCTTTGCGAAAGGAAATTGTATCTCGTGTTGTTCGACGATATTTATTCAGAACAATTGAAAAGTCGATGTTTGTTGGTGTTGATACAGCGTTATCTTCTTGTCGTTTCAAATTTTCATTGCTTGGTAGTTTAACATGTATTTCAATCGGAACGCTGATGGTTGTTTACGTCAAAATAATATGAGAATTTGGTCGATTTTATTGTGATTCTCTGTGTAATCGTTAAAAGCATCATCCGATTGGTCTAGAACGTGGATTTTTATGGTGATTTCTCATAATCACCAACAGTTTTAATAAATACGGTGTTTAATCTGTGTGTAATTTTCCATGGCATGCATATTTCTTGGCATATTCGCACTTATATAGTGTATACAACTAATATAATTCTTCACTTTATGAGCATCATGAATTTAGGTCATCACTTTATGTAATTATTATGCAACATTTCAATCATCACTGAGAGATGGAGTTTTTACTACAAATTTATGCTAAAATCTGTTTAGCGAACAAGTGTCCGTTTTCCAATGTGATAAAAATTAAATGGATAGAAATGAACGTCACAGAGTTAGATTATTATTTGATCGTCGAGCTCGGAAATATTTCTGTAATAAACAACATCAATATTCGATTTAGTTTTTCTTCTCTGCGTTTAGTTCACAACATTAGTCGATAGTCAGCTAGATCTAAATAGAGCACCTATGACTGGAATAGAACAGACTAAAAAGTCATTTTAGTAGCTCACGTGTGGATATTTTAAATTTTTGCCTTTGAAAATGAAAGTTTAAGCGCTCAAAACATCGAACAATAAATAAATCAATTCAATAAATAAAAATAGAAGCTGCTGTTACTGTTCTATTAGTTTGAATCCGGAAAGGCTATTGACTAGAATATGGCTTTCAGATTGATTACCTCATAGTTTTTTAATTCGCCGACCCATTTGCAACCGTCTTTCTTGTAGAAACAAATAATTATTAACTGCATCAATTCGCGCGCGAACCCTCTATCAGGCAGTAGCTAAGCAAAATAAATGGTTGACGATCGGGTAAAAGAAGACGCAATATCATTAATAATATTTTAAATATTTTATACTTTATCGTTAGATGTTAGTTCAGCACATTCTGGACACTTGGTTCTAAAGATATGTAACAGACTTAGTCACATAATATTCGAGATATTATTAAGTAATATTATCAGCAATAAACTATTATAAAGAGGTCAAACTCAAAGACTATACACACATCCGATTGAATCATTATCTGCGAAAAATGTCGAAACTCATCGTTTAATCCGTCAATGCGCTCTCGTTCGATAGCACTAAAGCTCAAATGTCCAAAGAGGATTTTCCGGGATTTCCTAAATCCTAGCTCCTAAATGTAATAGAACTTTTCGTTGATTAGTCTTTCAACTGATTTCATATAACTAAGAATTTATAAGCCCACGAAGAAGTTGGGAAAAACGTGATGGAATAACAATAGAGTTTTCTAGTGAAAAAAATTAATAGACTTCTCTTTAGCTTCCTTTTTTGTTTCGTTTTTTTATCACTCTTATTTAGTCATGGCAATAAAAGTAAATAATGAAAATAAGTCAAATTTTTTTCGAGATTTCGGGAGAAGGATTAATGAAAAATTTATTTCACGCCTAAAACTAAAAAGCGGGAAAATCGCAATGGTTTGATCGGATGTTCAGAATAGAATGCTCCTTGTCTAATGTAGCGTCTGGAGATCGGAATGAACAAGATCGGGTGTTCGGACTGTAAGTCTAAGGGTACTTCACAGAAAAAAGACCGAAAGAATGGAATGACATCGTCAGGGAGTTCGTAAAAGAATTTACTAGGAGATCGTAACGGATATAAAGGCTTTTCTTTCTGTTTGTATAGACAAGAATGGGGTTCATTTACCTAGTACATCCATAATTATATGAATAGGGGTTTTTCTTTCTCTGCCTCTACTATCTATACTTTAGTAACTATAAACGTTGTTTCTAATTTTCGTCTTTTAATCTATTCATAATACTGATAGATGGCAATAGTCTCTGTCGAAATGAAACACTATATAATGTAAGTGTCGAACTGAAAAGACTAGGAAGGAAAGGGTTAGAATCGTGCAAAGGAATATTTTCTATTCCGATATTTTTACTGAGGATATTTTAAGAAAACATGAAAGATTTGCTGTATTAACCTCTGACTTACTGGGTCTGTTGCGTAATGCTTTTTTGACACAATCGATGTCCGCAAGTCGTTAGTTGTATAGGTTCTCGTAGAATCAAGTGACATTTTGGACAAATGTATTTTTGATCGATACAGTCTGCGTTGTAGGCATTATATCCACACTAGAAAGACAAGTGTACTTCACTTTATCATCAAAAATCTGTCGAAAACGAGTAGACAGTAATGGGAAAATCTGCTCAAGTTTTTCACCGGTTTTCCCTCGAAAGATACATGACTATATGTAATCAGTGATGCTAATTTCAAATATGATAATGACGTATTAGACCCAAAACTAGGCTTCCTAGTTCAGAATCTTTTTCGTTCAGATTCGGTAGCAAGTGTGTAGAACACATTGTTACCTGTACGAAAAAGTTCTTATGACTATCCGAGAGGGATGTCAGAATATCACTACGCAGTGTATTATCAAAAGAGACCGTTTTTTTCAAACTTGCTGGTCTTGGTGTATTCTCACTGACAACACTCGAGAATATACCAGAATACGCAAATATATAAATATCTTTAAAATGTGCTGGGCTTGGTGTATTCTCACTGACAATACGCAAATGTTGCATAGTGACTCACTCTCACGCTGCATATTCTGGTGTATTCTCATGTATTCTCACTGAGAATACTCCAAGCCCAGCAAGCCCAGCACATTTTATAAAAATTTATGTATTTGCGTATTCTGGTATATTCTCGTGTATTGTCAGTGAGAATACACCAAGACCAGCAAGCCCAGCAAACCCAGCAAATAGTGTCTTTTTGAGAATACACTGCGTAGTGATATTCTGACATCTCTGCTATCCGATGAACATTGACTGAGTTACAACTTGCAAGTAACTGGATTTCAGTCTGAATTGAATAAAATAAGAATGAGCATTCGTAAAAGAAATTCCAAAACGACAAATAACGTTCACATGCTTATCAATTCAGACTAGTTTTGAAATATTAAGTGTTTCCGTTTCGCTTTAGAAAGCAGTGCTATTTCCGTTTAACTCTCTTGTTTTCATTTGTTTTTCTGTAAAGTCTTCTTTTGTCTGCCATGTTCCACCTCTCAGCTACATTTCAAATTCAATTGCTTGTAACTCCGTCAGTATTCATTGGATAGTCATAAGAACTTTCCGTGCAAGTAATTCAACGCGCTGTACATACCTGCTAGCTCAAAATCGAAAGATTTTGAAGGTAGAGACCTAGTTTAAGACCTAATGGCAGCTCTCATTATCATATTTGGAATCAGCATCATTGATTACATATAGTCATGTATCTGTCGAGGTAAAAACGGTGAAACACTTGGACTCGTAAGTTCCAAATTAAAACATTTTATTATTGTCATGAGATATAGTGGACCTCTTCATAATAAAAGATGAATGACACATAACCATATAACTGCGATTGTGTTTCAACAGACAAATTTTCATTTTGGCTTTAGTAGGAAAAACGAAGATCTAATTACTAGAATGATATCTGAGATACTCTCTTCGCATGTATCATTGTCAACCGAAGCCGGTATGTCATTCGTTGATATAGGTTGGTTGGTATCTATAACAAAACAGAATGTATTATAACCGTTATTTACGTTTGATAAGCTTTACCAGTTGTATCATTTTCCTGTGCTTTCAGTGTACTATCATCATTTTCCTTTATTAAAGACCTATTATTGTTAACCGCAGCTATAACAGAGAAAATATATACAGACCAAACTGACATTAGTCAGGTTTTGATTTATGGTTAGTTTATAGCATACATGACACCGGAGATTGGTGTAAGCGTAAACTATTGGTCTCAGATAGTGAATGAATTGCTAACAGTTTATTCTGTGAAATCAAAATAGAATAGAGGTGAAAACTTAATTAAATTAATGAAATATAATACCTTGGTTATCATTTATAGACTCGTTGTGCGGTAGTTGCTGTATTTTTCTTCTAATATCTTCTTCTAATATAATTAAACATCGTGACAGTACATGTTTATCGAGTAGTTGTGTACTTGATTGCTTAATAATATTCGTGGCATTAAGCGTAAGGAGAAACGCTTTCAATGTTTCATGCCCGAACGGTTTACCAACTTTATCTGACAGATGACAAAGATCTTGAGACTGACGCCATAAATGGTCATTTTTCGTATTCAAAATATACATGAATATCATTGAAATGTGTTGTAGACTGATTAACTCATTAACGATCTCGATCGTAACAGTATCCGCTGGTAAACCTAGTTGAATTTTAGCGTGTTCAGAAGACAATATATGTCGGTAACACGAACGAATGTCTTCAAAGCGGCAAATTGATGAAAACTGTTTTTCAATACCAAATGAGACACCAACGTAACAAATTAACTCGTTTTGCTGAGACATTACTTTTATCCGATCTAGAATTGACCCTATTTATGAGATATTTCTTGATTTCTAATGAATCTTGGCCAAGGGGGGAAAAGCAACACTACACTACACAACAAGGGATTTTCCACCACACTCTACTACACGTCCACTACACACCACTGCACGTCCACTATATATATATATACTACACATTCATTACATGTAGTAAAAATTCCTAAAAGTGAGTAAGAACGACAATAAAGTATTTCTAATCGACTACATCAAAGCTAATGCCTTGTCTTTTCGTATTTTACTGTATTCGTGATATAGTAATCCATTGTAAGTCACTAGTCATTTTACCACAAAAGAATTTGTTTCTTAACGAAGTTTTGACTAGACAAATAAAACCTGAGATAAAATCGTTCTCAGACATAAACAAACTAAATCCACAATATAAATAAATATAAAAAGACTCTCTAGTGAATGTGCTCAAGTGTGAGTACTCAAAAAGTACTCTGCTAGAAAAACCGGATGAGTACTCATACGTACTCATACATTTTTTTACTCATTGAGTACTCACCTGAGTACTCATGAGTGAGTAACAAGTACTCTGAGTACGACTTTGAGTACTCATGCTTGGGTATTGTTGAGTACTCATAC